CAAATAAGCACACGGGCAAATAAGCACACGGGCAAATAAGCACACGGGCAAATAAGCACACGGGCAAATAAGCACACTGTTTGGGTGTATTGTTTGCCATAAGCTATGAATGGATCACTCGATGGAAAGGCTATAAATAGGTATTGAATTAAAGAGATAAGTAGTATAAACTAGTTAATATTATTTATTAACTAATTATAATAATTAAAATCAACATTTAAATATTTTTAATTATTTAATGAAATGTAATTAAATTAAAAATAATAAATTTACTATAGTTACAGAATTTTAAAAATTATTTTACACTTTTTAATAATTTTATTTTCTCCCGACGCCAACAATTATACTTTGTCCCTGCACCAAACCCCGACGTTTATTAAACACAATAGGAACATTAGTGTTAGACACTTGGTAAAAGTAAAACTGTTTAATGAGTTTGACCATGGCCAGTTTCGTCTGAAACAACGCAAATCTCATGCCCAGACAATTACGGGGTCCGGCGCCGAAAGGCATGTATGTATAGGGTTTGATGTTATGGCGATTTTTAGGCAAAAACCGGTCGGGTCTGAAGGCAAACGGGTCGGGAAAATAGTCCGGGTCGTGATGTATGGCATACACCGGGATCTCCGCATACACTCCCTTCTCAACCCTCACACTCAACCCCAGGGTGTCGTCGGTGAGCACCACGTCCTCCATGGCCTCCCTCTCCACGCGAACTAATGGCGGATACTTTCGTAGGGTTTCCGATACGACGGCGTCGAGTAGTGGCAGTCGGGATAGGGTTTCGTAGTCTATGTCTCCCGTATGGTCGACAGCGGCGTCACTGATCTCCTCCCGGAGCCGGTCCTGAATGCCGGGATTGAGTGCCAACTCGTAGGCACAGAAGGCCAGTGTGTTTGATGTGGTCTCATAGCCTCCCAGTATAAACAGGAAACACTGGGCGAGTATCTCATCGGTGGTCAACTTCTTGGCGGTCGACACCACTCCGGCCAACGCCTGTCGCTCAGCCGTCAGCTCATCGGCCGACGAGCTGTCCATCAGGTGATGGGCGCCGACATCTGTGCCCTTACTATCAGGACTAGTATTTGGGTTATTATTGGTGTCCACTCTCTCGACATCAATGAGGAGTTGAACGAAATCGTCGTGTTTTTCGGCCAAACGTTTGCGTTTAGCGATCAGTTGTCGCGAGAAATCAATGATAAAGTTGGCGTCGGCGGCGTTCCCGAAGCCCAACCACCGTCTGATCCATACGACAATTGGCCACTTTGGCAGCGTTGCCAAGACTAGCGACGATAGGGCTGAGCTGTTGAATATATTCCGGGCACATGCAGTAAACCGATTGTTTGGGTCGCCATATGTGTTGATTTTGGTGGCGAACGCTGTGCTGGCGATCACATCCATAGTGAATGCGCCCATCATTTGTTTGATATCCAGTTCGCACAGGCCGTCGGCCCCCATCTGTCCGTTCAAACTGCTAGTCATATCCCGAGCGCAGCCGTTGATGAGTTTGAGCATACGTTTGAGTTTACCCGACGTAAACACAGGGCTGGCTATGGCTCGGATCCGTTTCCAGTGCTCATCTCTGGCGTTGAATAGGTTTTTCTCGACGACTGGGTGTCCGCCGCCGGCTTCAGACCGATTGCAGAACCGATGAAACTCTTTGACCAACACCTGCTTCACGAGCGATGGCTCCGCCACTGTTAGCGCCGGTTTTGACATATTGTATACACTATTTATAAATTATATAATTGTTTATTGTAATTGTGTTTGACCATGTTTAGTTTTAATAAAACTTACCCAAACAGTTTGCCGTATTTTTTATACCACTCCAACTCGACAACTGGTCCCGGCTTTAGAGCTAAGCTATAAGTGTTGCCATAGAAGGGCACAGGTCTGGGGCCCGAGATATTCCGGCGCTGCCAATAGCTCAGTGTCCGCCTCCACGTCCTGTTAAGACAATATGATATAAATTAAAATATTTAATTTATAAATTATATTAATTATTTACTTACACATGATAGTAGACTAGTGTAGCCACAAGTCCAGCCAACAAATACCAAATTATATAATTTATTATATTAAACATTGGGTGAAATATTAATTGTAGTGACATTATTAGCAAGTTAATATTTTCACAACTAATTTTATGATTAGCCTTTAAAGAAAATATTGCTATATTTATATATCAATTCATAACTGTACCCGACTAAACAAATACATTAGTCCTACGATAATAATTATCAACATAAGTTAGTTTTAATGAATACACTTTATTGAATTGTTTTTATCACTTTATTTTATAATATTTTTTGATTAAACTTAATTGAAATAAAGTGCTCGTGTACTGTTGTTTGTGCTCTTGGTACAGTTTTATAATGACCATGATTTTTCATTTATGTGGTGTAATAGTGTGCGTAATAGAAAATCTAATTTATTTGTATAGAAATTACCATTATCTTAATAAACTAAATATATACAGTTGGAACTCTGTGTTATGAATATTCTATACTGAGACTTATATTACATCTATATATTCAAGGTAGTTAACACAGTAAATTCTTTTTAGGTGATTTGACAAATTTAGCATTAAAATAATATTGTTCAGTTTGGTTGCATTTTAATAGTGATTTAAAATACGTTAATATTATTATACTTTATATAATTAAAATGAGAGTAGTATTAGAGATAAATGAGAAACGAGTAGACAAGAAATGCATCCAAAATGTGTCCCTTTTGTGGCGTAATATACAGGTGTTTACGAAATGCAAGAAACAAGTAAAGAAACATCAAAAGAAATTATCAAACATGGTAAATGTAATTTTGTTGTTGTTACCTATTACTTACATAACAAGCACAAATTTACATTTTGTTGTTAAATTGCTACGTTATCATTTATAAATTACTAATTAATATAAATTTTAAATAAAGTGTCCGGTGAAGTAAAAAGTGGTCAATTATTGGCAATAATGGGCGCCAGGAATTGGACATGATTGTTCAAAATATGTAATAATATTTGTAAATATTATTTTTACTTATACTGAACTAATATAGTGGCGCCGGAAATACTAGTTTACATGTGATTTAATAAATACACTTACTTAAATTTACTTATCATTTTAAATTAAATAGTATTTTAGCCTAGTTGATCAAGAAACAATTACAGCAATCTAATTATAATAGATTTTTATATAAACTTATTTGTAAAATGTAAGATTTTCTTAATATAACATGATTATTTTGTTTACAAGTCACAAAATCATTTTATATTTAATTTGATTGTGCGGTAAATGGTATAAACACTTTGCTTAATTAGAATTTATTAAAATAAATCCAATAAATATGACATAAAAATTGTTTATAAAGTAATAAAAATACATTATTTTACATTATTACATTAAAACAAATGACTTGATCAAATATAATGATAATGTTTTTGATAATAATAATTCATTTATCATGGTGTGTAATCATGAAATACATCAGTATCAATATACAGAATGTTGCCAATCATCAAATGACAATAAGATATTTTAAAATAAAACTTAAAATTCTTAAAACATTATATAATATAGTAATAACCTATTATAGAAATAATATTGAAGAACAAAAATTAATGTTTGAATAAATTTCAAATAATAAAACTAATATATAGTTATTATGTAAGTAAAATTTATTTTTAAATAACAATTTATAATAAATCTCATTGCGTAAGCGTGACAAACATATCGGTCAAAAATTGCAAACATCTCTCTTGAAACGAATCGCTCGAACCGTAACCATGGCTTAAATGGTCGGCCAACGCAACCGTTGTATAAGTCATACGAAACTCATTTAAATAAAAGTCAAACACATTATCACAAGTGGTTTCCCGGAAGACGTGATCCCTATTTATTGTCCAAACTTTGCCATCGATTACAGCACACAATAGATATGCGTTTCTTATACTCGAAGACATTTTATGCAATTCCTGGCACTTCTTGTCGCAGTCCAGGAGCCGTACGGAGCGCTCGACAGCGCCGGGCGGGCCATCACTGGCCACGTATTGGCCGCAAAAATACACGAACCCATCGTTGGACAGGAAGCAAGACTTTCCGCCGCCGGCGCACACCGTCTGAACGCCAGCTATGCTTACAATCAATCGGGGTTTGGCTATACTGTGGCCCCAATTATGGCCCAAATTATAGCACTCGTCGCGACCCCAACTGAATACCTGGCCCTCTGTTGTGATGGCGAACGACGAGTAAACCCAGGCGTATATACTTTTAATCGTGTATGGTTTGGGACGAACATGGTGGTTTGCGAATCGTAGCTTTGTGGGCACCGGTACGGCCGATATGGGCTGATCGCTGCCCACCTGTCCGAACCGGTTATACCCCCAGCCGTAGACACAGCCGTCGCCCGTAAGGGCCAGAGAGTGACTGAAACCACAACTGATTT